ATACAACATCCATGGCCCCCCCGGCTTTTACGGACACACCCGCACTTGTGTGCGGAACTTGTAACTTGTAACTTGTAACTTCAAAGGTGTTAATTGGCAGAATTGGGTCACACCAGCACAGGACATGAGACAGCATACAACTATGTGGCAATGTGTACGACAAATTGTGGGACAATGTTTATTGCTGGAGTGTGCTGACCACCTTCCAAGTATAAACAGGTGACATGTATGGTGCAGTGAAGATTAAGGGGGTGTTTCCACTTGGATTAAAAGTCGCGGATTAAGGTATTTTTAAGCCGCGCCAATCCACCGCTAATCCGTCGGAGTGTTTCATACGTCTGGATTAAGAAACGGATTGAAGTACGACACTTGCTCATTCCGTGCATAAAATGCAAAAACGAGTATTGCCAGACATTTAAAAGACTATCGAGTATCAACATGAAGGCCTTGTAGCACCTTTGAACGACACCCACGGTGTGGTGCATAATGCCGAACAAGAAGCACAAAGCTTCCACAAAACTAGGAACACCTACAGCCTTTATAAAGGATAACCTTCCAACCTATCACTCAGGCTTTTTATGAGGCGTCGTGAAAAGTGTTAATCCGAGATTGTCAATCTGATACCTGGTGGCCACCAGGTAGCAAATTTTTCGCACCAAGTTTGAGCTTTTAGTATAGGCAGAAAGCTCGCATTTCATAGCATATTAATCTATAATTAATCCGCGAAGCGCGTGAATACGGACGGAAATCTCTAACTAATCGCGCCAACCTTAATCCGCCTAATCCGTCCTAATCCGCGCGATGTTTCCATATGCGACGGATTAAGCCTTAATCCTCGACTTTTAATCCAAGTGGAAACACCCCCTAAGGATCTAACTGCTATAGTAGTTTTGGGCAAATATGCATATCCTCAGTGATCCACATTCATATGTGGGTTCAACTGTATATTTGTTTCACATACTTGGAAACCATACAGGAATGCTTGTTGATGGGGTGTTACACTGTGGGCGGCTCGCCTGATAAAGGACGAGCACCGGGGGCCCTGACCGGGCCGAAACACAGCGCAGGGATGGGCGCACGGCTCTACGTCCGTCTATTCCTCCGTGCGCGCCTCATTCCCTCACTCACGCCAACCGGGACGCTCTCCCAGCCCCTGGCTAGGCAACACAGCGGTGCAGAGGACTGCGAACCGAACTATGCGAGAGCCGCACGAAAGGCGCCACTCTGCCTGGCCTGCCTATTCACACGCTGTAGCAGCTGACCGC